TTTTTTAGACAGCCTTGCTCTGTCACCCAGGCTGGAGTGCAGTGGCGCGATCTCGGCTCACTGCAACCTCCGCCTCCCAGGTTCATGCGATTCTCGAGTGTGGATATGAGTAACACCTAGTTCCCAACCTCTAGACAGTCCGCTGGGGCTGGTCTTTGTTACTCCCCCAAGCTCTGCTCCCATGCCCTGCCCCTCGGGGGCCCCTCCTCAAAGAGACCGAGAATAACGTTCCATTTCATTCCTGTCTCTGCAGGTGGGACTGCTTCTCCAGGCCTGTCCCTTGGCCTCTGTAGTCCTATAGAGCCAGTGGTGGTGGCCTCTGGTGGAACAGGCCCACTGAGCCAGAAAGCTGAGCAGGTGGCACCTGCTGCCCAGGCCTGGGGCCCAGCCCTGGCAATGCCACAAGCCAGGGGCTGCCCTGGGGGGACTAGCTGGGAGACACTACGGAAGGAATACAGCCGAAACTGCCACAAATTCCCGCATGTGAGGCAGCCGGAGAGCTTGGGCTGGGACAGTGGCTACTCCAGAAGCAGAGCCCCCGACCTAGGTGGCCCCAGCAGGCCTAGGCCCCTGATGCTGTGTGGGCTATCACCAAGGGTTCTACCGGTACTCTCTGAGGCAGTGGGGAAGGAGGCCAGCTCCCAGCCTGACATCTGCATCCTCACCCTCGCTATGATGATCGCTGGCATCCCCACCGTGCCCGTCCCAGGCGTTCGGGAAGAGGACCTGATCTGGGCTGCTCAAGCTTTCATGATGGCCCATCCGGAGCCAGAGGGTGCTGTGGAGGGGGCGCGGTGGGAGCAGGCGCATGCCCACACAGCCTCTGGGAAGATGCCGCTAGTGAGATCTAAGAGGGGCCAGCCTTCTGGCTCCTGCTTGTAGATGGATGAAATAGCACCAGATACGTAGGGTGGCTTCTCTGTATGGTTCTTGGGCAGACAGGGTTGGGAGGAGGGCCTATGGCAGGGATGGGGATAGAGCTGGTGGTTGAGCCATTCTGACAAATTCCAGTCCTTCATCAGGGACTTCCAGACCCTAAAGTTTCTCCAGATACCACTAAGACAGGAGATAGGTTTTGTCAGGTATATACAGTGGAAATTATGTGAGGTAGGGGCCCCTGCTTGGAGAGTTGAGGCTGCTTTTATGTTTTGAAGCCTTGATCAGATTTTTTTTTTTTTTTTT